TCCAGGGTTTAGGGTTTAGGTTTTTAGGGTTGCGGGTTGGCTATTTGAGTTACCATCCACGATTTCAGGTTTGTGGTTTTAGCCTGAACAAAGACGTTTGTCGAAACTCGCAGCAGCGCAACCATCAGTTGAGAATGGACGAGGCCCCAAGCCCCAAATCCCTAGGGCCGATCCCAGGATTCCCATGCCCCTACCCAAGGTCTGCTTCACCCACAAAAATCTCCCTGTAGCGGCTCAGAGCTTTAAGGATTTAGGGTATGGCTTGGGGTGGCCAAAACAAGACGAGCTCGTAGCCTCATACTTTCGCAAGTCTTGTTCCAGATGTTCCAATCAAGTTCTCATCTACCAGGAAGGGACAACACCTAAAACCTAAAGCCCGAAACCCCCAACGACATCCCAGTCCTGAAATGCTTCAACTTGGACGCAAGTTCGTCATCACCCAACAATGCTTCCTGAAACATTACAGGGGTCCTGAAACCTCAAATTCTAGCTTCATTTAATAACAAGACCACATACATCGCCAAATGAGTAAACGAGAAACACATGCATAGACGTCGTATTGCAACGCATGCAGCAAACCCCAGCTTAAATGTAGGAATCTTTATGTAAACCCCAGTCAACCCCTTTAGGCTTTAGGAACACACGCTGACACACCCTGTAGGACAAAAAACATTTCCAAAAACCCACCGCAACAGCCTGGGAGCCTGGTGGAAGGGAACTTGCGAGTCCGTTGGGAAGGGAACTCCCCAATGAAGGGCCAACTGCGGCAGCAAACCTGGGCTCTGGGCTTGGGCTTTCGGGGTTTAGTTCAGGGTTTAGTGTAGGGTTTAGGAGGGGGAATATCTTAATACAGTAGCCTGCAGTGGAAAAAAGAATTACCAATACTATTTTGGGGGCTCCTTACTATCATTATAGTATAAGAGGTCCCAAAAGCCCTGCTCGAATGATTAAGGCCCCTATACTAACATGGAAACCCGAAGAGCGAGCCTTGATGGAAGCCATGATGGGCACTCTGCAAGGTTTAGGGTTTAGGGTTTAGGGTTTAGGGGGATACTACAGCGGTTCTTAAGGACCTCAGGTTTAGAGTTTTGGTCTCAGGGCCTCAGGGTTTAGGGCCCCAGGTTCAGACGATGGGGTCCCTTGTTCAGCGCTTTCTGCTTTTCTCTGAAACTTCTAGCAAAACGTCGTCGTCTTTCTGTTCAGCCCTTATTGCACCACTCCCAAACCTTTTGCAACCCGAATCAATGGCAACCAGCTCTCCATCTTGACAAGCGGGCTGAATCATTCGTGTCCAATGCCGCCCACGCACCCTTACATCTTAAATGAGACGCCACTTTCCTCACACAACCAGGGCCCCAAAAGGCACGCACAATCAGAACATACGACACGGGATCTCATATTCATACGGATCTTCGGTCACTACCCTGTGGTCTGTGAACAGGTTCCAAGGGACCCGTTCATCGCGCTCGTGGTTGTGACCGTGGCCGCGGCCTTGGGCGTCCTTCGGTTGAGGCACAGAGGCATTCCGGCTTCAGGGTTGCTGTAGCACTAAAGCGGTTACTGTAAGGGCGACTGGACGGCCACTATAGATGAGAACGGCCACCGCGACTGAAGCCAGCGCCCCCAAACCCTTAAAGCCCAAACGCTAGACCCAGAGAGCCCAATACCCCTTATTAAGGAATATACCTTAAATCATAATATTAAGGCCCCTATAATTTAAGGTATACTCTTTATTTAAAGGGTATTGGGGTCTCTGGGGACCCTGAAGAAACCGTACCGAAGTGCCAAGGCGCATTCCAGCTCCCTTTTCCGGATTGGCAGCGGCACCTTTCGCACCGCCCTTCGACGGAGGAACGAACGTGGCTCCCGGCGTGAAGGTGCCTGTCGAGAAAGAACATGGGACTGTGTTCGAAACAAGCGGGTACTTCTTTCATACGTTTTGAAGAGTTTTTTACTGACATCGGCTAACTCACTTGTATCCCTCTGTATGCTTATCCTCTGTATCAGTCTACCTGTCTGTTTATGTGGCGTGTCTATCGATCTACCGATCTACCTATCTACCTATCTAGCTATCTGCCTGTCTAGCTATCTAGCTATCTAACTGCCTGCCTACCTACCTACCTATCTATCTATCTATCTGATCTATTTATTATCTCATCTATCTCTCTGTGGGAGTATGCATGCTTGTATGTAGGTTTTTCGTATCATCGTATGCATGTATGCCTGTATGTATATCTCTCAACGCATTCACGTACAACGATTTCTTGCGAAACCATGCGTGCATAACGGCAGTGTGGCCATGTGCGACGATGTGCTGCAACGTCTTTTTTACGAGCTTGTGAAACTTTTCAGCTCGTAATGCGAGGTAGAATTGGCTCGCCTTTCAGACGACTATTGGACCATGCACACTCGATGTCGGTATTCTGCCATACTTTACCACCCGCGGCTTCTGTACTGCATGTTGCCAACACGTGGCATGCATACAAATTGGCATACATGTGTTTAAACAGATATACACATATCAAATATATATATATATATAGAGAGAGAGAGAATGATATGCATGTAGATATATATATATATACAGATGCATATATAGATATATATATATATACAGCTATACATATATATATATATATATACACACACCATTTACTTTGTATACATACATACATACATATACATATACATATACATATACATATACATATACATATACATATACATATACATATACATATACATATACATATGCATATACATATACATATACACGTCCATATCCATACCCATACACATATACCTACACGTAGACATACACAGGATCACATACATATGCGTATACATATACTTATACATATACATATACATATACCGTATACATGTACGTATACATACATATGTATGCATGCATGCCTGTATGTATGTACACATATGCATATATATATATATATATATATGTATATGTATATATTTATTTATATATATATATATGTATATATATATATATGTATATGTATGTGTATATATATATATATATATGAATATAAATGACGATGAAGCTCCCCCAAGATCCACACTGTATGGGTGGTTCGTGGGGGGGGCGTGAGGGTGCGGGATGTGTACCAAACACTTTACTGCTCAAACAACTCCAATACTTCCAAGCCTGACGCGCACGCAAAACCGTGCAATGCTCAAAACAAACTACAATCCCAAACTATCGCACTTATGGCTGGGCAAGGAGCATAACCCAACAAACGCTTGGGGCTTACGTTGTCAAGCTCCAGCGTTTAGGCCTTCAGGTGTGCGGCTTACTCATGGTATTTCAGTTTGAGGCTGTGTGTTGCTTTGGGCTGTGCGTTTACTGCAATGGGTTTTGCTTTGGCAGCCACCCACTATCAGTCATGGTTCATAAGTATATTCCAGGTCAATGTTTGCCAACACAGAGAATCCCCAATTCGTACCTTCTGCTCTACGCCCTGAGCCCTAAACACCCCTCAACCCCGAAACATCATACCCTTAACGGACCCCAACCCTAGACCCCCCCAAATCTAAATCCTAAATCCAGCCCAAAAGCCCAAAAGAGCTCCAAGACCCCTAAACAACTCTTACAGACCTTACAAACAACCCTGATAGCCCTGCAAAAGCCAAACTTGTCCAACAAATCCCTGTAAAACCCCTTGACAAGGCTCTGAACCAATCTTCTCGACCCTCGAAAAACCTCAAGGTCTTCGGGTTCCCATTTGCAAAAACCGGACTTGATGACTGCCAGCATTGCCTCTTCTGCCGTTCTTCAAAAACCCTCAGCCCTAAACTGTGGCTCCCAGGTTCGCCCTAAACTCTTTTTTCACAAGGGAGGACTCGGCTGCCCTTACTGCCCAGCTTGACCCTAAACTCTAAACCCCTAAACCTCTAAACCCAGCAGCCACTTACTCGATCCTGGGATTCCCAAACCTGGCTGCCCTGCCTTTGCCTATGGCGGCCATGGCGGCCACCGCGGCAGTGCCTGTGCCTGGACCTGGGTCCAGGAAGTTGGCGCAGGATGTCGGATTTGGTGCTTACGGCCTAGGATTTGGGGCTTCGGTTCGGATGTTGGTTTCTTGTGCTGTCAAGCCCTAAACCCTAAATCCTAAACCCTAAAGCCTTATGAGACCTCACAAAAACCTACGAAACCAAGATAAAAACAAGAAACTGCGGCCCCCGGGGTCCCTTCAAGGCTTTAGGGGATTGCCTTAGCCTTCCTCATCATGTCGTAAATTTTCGCACGGTGAGTATTCATTCTACGTTCGGTGCACGAAACGCATCGCTGCATCACAGTCGCTGTTTAACTCGTGCGCGCCATGCGCATAACTGCACGAATCACCTCTCTGGCAGTTCCCAGTGGTCTCGAAGAAGCGGCACATAATCGTCCTGAGCTTTTGGGATTTCTCCGAAGCTGAACCCTAAACCCTGAAGGGCCCTGTAGGACCCTAACTAGGCAAGAAAGGACCGCGGGGACACAAGGCTAGCTGCTGTCCTTACTTTATTTTGTTCAAACCATGGGGCTGTTGGGGAATGAGGTTTCAGAAGTTTGGGATGTGCAGGACGGGCTCCTCTGCCCTCCGATGTGGAAACCCTTGGGCCGGGGCTAGGGCCTGGGGTTTAGGGTTTAGGATTTCTGCCTCCTACTTAGGGTTAGGATTTAAGGTTTAGGGACTATTGGCTTTGGTGCACATGCTCAAAAGCCTCTGGAACTGTGGAATACAAACCCCAGTTTATGACGAGCAACGAATGGAGTGCCCAAAGCTAGGCACTCTCCCTCATACAGCGGAAGCCCCACATATAATTCAAGGCTAAGGTATTTTTCTTACTTGAAGAGGGCGTATTGGGTTCTCCGGAGTCACCACACAGGAAATATAGTCGCGGCCAAAGAGTCGACACCTGCATCTGCAAGATCCGGAGACCCAACATTGTTCAGTGGGTTTCGTGCTTCGTGTTTAGAGTGTGCACACAGCACGGGCACGGTGGTTCCGTTTCTTCAAGACTTCGTGGCATGCCCCCTTATCGCGTGTCTAGAAGAGCGTCTCTTCATACACCGTCGTAGAAAGCCTCCCGCATAATGTAGGGGCTATAGTAATTTGAATAGAGATTATCGTTGTTTGTATGATAGGAACCCCCAAACTAGTATTGGTGGGAGCTAGGATTAGGGGGACCCTTGGGGATATAGACCCTCTCAATAAGGTCCCTTTTAAGAGAGCCAAAAGTAGGGTTCAGAAGGGGTACCTTTTAAGGGGTACCCCTACCCAATTGGTAATGATTTCGGCCCCATATGTTACCCAAAGGCCGAGTCGCTTGTACTTTTTCACGTCTTGCGGTAGCCCCGGCCCCTTGCCCTTGCCGCCCCCCTTGAAGGATCCATAATCCTGCAGCGCGCAGGACAGAATTGCCCCTGCAGAATTATGACACTGCAGCCTTGTGCGAATGGAAACAGATTGTCTTGATGATCTTCTTTAGTCAAAGCAGCCATGCGAACCACCGAGTAGTATTCTGTCAGGCTAGACTTCTACGAAGAACAGTGGCCAAGGACATGTAGACAGTAAATTGCCTCATTGTCTCTCATATACCTCTCTATGTCTGTACGACGCTCTGACACCTGAGATCGACGGTTGTGTTCTCAAACTCCTACTTCCTTGTTCCTGAATGCTCATAAGATGTACTGAAGATGCCTGCATTCTACTGCTGGGAATTGGAAGCAACATCGGGCTTAAGCAGTTCCTTGTCTGGGCTTGCCTTGAGGATGACAATTCACTTCAGGGCTAACTTATAGGCCGTCGAGATATGCTGGAAGTGCGTATACCTCCCCCAAATCCGAGATGCTTCGACCAACACACCCCGATAACTTCAAAGGGACGGAATCTCGCACTGACGCACCAGTCTCCTTGCCACCATAACCGCCATAACCGCCATAACTGCCACAACCTCCTCCCATTCCAGCGCCAGAACTATCATAGCCACCATAATCTCCTTTTATTCCAGCGCCAGAACTATCACAGCCACCATAACCTCCTCCCATTGCTGCACCAGTGGTGCCCATGCCTGCCATGGCACCTTGTCAGAAAACCGAATGCTTTAGAGCTTCGGGGGATTTAAGCCTTGCGGATTACAGTAGGTTCAGGGTCCGAAGTTTATGGTCGATGTGGGTTGAACCCACGCAGGGACGGGAAATGTTCTCGATGAGAACATGCATGAGCAAGTGACGAGCCCTGGAATCACCCCCAGCTCTTTCTGCTCTTTGTAGGTCCAAGTGCTGCATTGCTTCAAACGGCAGTTGGTGACTCGAGCAGCCTTTTTTGCGGATGCCGGAGCCAACATATACTAAAGAGCGGCGCTCTCTGCATTGAGGGATGCGCGCTCCTGCATTTGGAGAAGAAAGGCACATCACACACACACAGACACACAAAGGCAATCCCAGGGCATAGTGTGGGAGCACTGTGTTTTCACTGCTAAGACAGACTGTCCAGCAGAAAGGGTGAGGCTGTTGGAGGTTATGCCGGATGTAAACGCTTCCAGACGGCCAGCAGCAAGGAGACAACCAGAACCTAACTGTCTAAACCTCCAAACCCCAAACCCTGCCTCACAGCGCCCTTTCCGTCGACCCGTTAGACCCTCTCGGCTTGGGGGGCTTTGGCCTTAAGGCTTTAGGGCTTTGGAGCTTGGGCCGTTTGGGCTTTAAGGATTAGCGCTCGGCCATGAAAACCTCACGTCCCCCTTGGAGGATCAGGGGCTGGGTAGGGTTTAGGGTTTAGGGTTTAGGGTTTAGGGTTTAGGGTTTAGGGTTTAGGGTTTAGGGTTTAGGGTTTAGGGTTTAGGGTTTAGGGTTTAGGGTTTAGGGTTTAGGGTTTAGAGGCATTCTC